TGGATGAAGACAAGACCTATAATGATATCCACACCCACACCATCTTATGAGTAAAATTCTGCCTATGGTTAAATATTCTTCCTAGTTTTCTTTTTAAAAATTATCAAGACTTACACATACAATTAAAATTTATTTGGAAAAGATAAATAGTAAAACATTAATGAAAAACAAAAACTCTTTATTTCAATCCGAAGGAATGACGATCAATACAAAATCATATAAATTTCGTCATGAAATGTCAAAATGAATTTTCATTGATAATATAGTATATATTTTATTTTTTTAGGTTTTTATTGATGTTATCACGTTTCAGTGTTCGTTTCGAAGAATCAGGCAATCGTTTATTTCTTATTGCTGATCGAAAATAGTCTCTGCAAATATCAATTATATCAACAAAAAAGCAAAATCTATTTTATTAATGCGGTGCGAAGCACAGCATTTATGTAGTCCGTCGCGAGTTTTTTTAATGCGGTGCGAAGCACAGCATTTATGTAGTCCGTCGCGAGTTTTTTTTTTTTTTTTTTTTCTTTCTTTTTTCCTATACGTACGCATCAAACTTGTCATTTTGTGACGCAGTGATCTCGAAAATGGAAACTCACAAAACACTCGTTAAAACGCAAAGCCAAAGTATCGAGATCGAACTCGTAACTTTTGTATTGATATTATTCTGAAAATGCTTAATTTCCTCATAATCGGTTTCCAAAAATGACAAATATGAAACTATTTATTTGCTTTTCGTTTTGAGATAATTAAAATTGAAAGAATAAAACAAAGTTAGGCGCCATTTACTTTTCTCATATGTCAAACAGCTGTAAATACAGCTGATAGTAGATAATGAATCATTGAGATAATTAATCGATCAATAAACAACAGTTTCTAGAAGTCTGTCGATACGCTTTAGTAGAGTTTCTCTAGTGATTAATTTCATAATGGATACCTTTCATGTCAGATCTAGGTTAGATCAGCTGTTCGAAAAAAATTTCTTTTTAATCTCTTATCCCTACTTGAGAAAAACTTCAATTATCTTTGAACCTTGACGTAGAATGTAAGAAGCAATTCCGACAATATTTAGACCGTTTATTCAATTTCGATACGAAATTCGTTTTTCGGATTCTCGGCACGTGTGCTTCGCACCGCATTTCGTATTCGAGTCGAAACTCGAATACCATCTAGTTTATTTTAGTTAACGAATATTGAACATTGACGTTAATTTGAACAAGCATTCATAAATGCATCGAATCTAGATAAATTATATGCTGATTTACTTGAACACATTCAAAATACGGTGTGGATGTAGATGTTGTTTGGATATGTTGATGAATCATATATCATCCATACCCACACCTTCAATAAAGACTAAAAATATCGATTCATAAAATGGAAACATAACAACAAGAATTAATTTATCTACTTTTTTCTTTTTACTAGAACTGGTCTCTACTATAACAATCATATCTAAATTTTCTAAAACCAATCGGAATAGATTGTCATTTATTTTGTGCTCTAATTTCTGTTTGGCTTATTGATTTATATTTCATATCGTATGTTTTATTATGATTTCAATCATTGATTTAACTAGTAAATAAGTCGATTACATGTATCCATTAAACATATTTTAGCCATTGAAGTTTTAACGAAAACTTTTTCTAAACCATGTCGTTAGAGTTTAAGAAAAAGTTGCACAAATCTGGATTAAAACTTGCATTTATAACCAGTACTTTTAATAATATCAAGAAGAATGTGAGTATAGATGTTGATATTCTGTTTAACCACATCTACAATCTTTGAATCGTTTTGGTTTAGTAGATTATATGTAAAAGCAGCTACCATACTTCATCCTATTGAACTGTTTTCTGAAAGTTCATTGAAAATGATAAATTCAAAAAGTCTCGCACTACACCATTGTTTCTTTTTATTCAAATAACAATTCTTTTTTCTTGATTTATTATTCGTATTTTTTATTATTTTATTATCAATACAAAAAAAATTGAATATTTTAATGTAAAAAGCAATTCATCATTGACAGTATTTAACGATAACTATCAGGGAAAGGAATCAAATCAACTTCCACAGGTTCGAATTCAGTTCGATGCTTGACAAGCGCGGTATTATCCTGTAAAATTATTTTAGATTTTAAATTT